CCTTCTCCTTTGCTTTCTCATGTCGTTTGGTTTGCGTCTCCCCGCCCCGTCTCTTCTTCTAGATGATCCCCATCATCCAGCACCACGTCGACAGACTGACGAAATATCTTGGGGAAAAGGCCAAGAAAGGAGATCTTCTGGATGTCAAAGAGTGAGTGCAACACAGCCCGTTGCTCGGCTTGTTCATGACCAGGCGGGTGGGTGGGCCTACCTGAAGGACTGGGGAGAGGGAAAGGCGGGGTGCCTGTGACTGAAATTCGCGGAGGGGGCCGAACGGGGTGAAGGACGGCTGCAGTGGCAACCCACTCTGCAGATGAGGAGCCCAGCTTTTCTCGGAAGCGGGAGGGAGAGCCTGGCCTTTTGGAGTCTCTGGGCAAGGAGCTCTTGGCTGGCCTTCGGCGGCATCCGCCCGCCCTAAGCCGCTGTGCTGAAACCAAGATTTGGTGCAGGCACAGAACAAGCAGGAGGCAGGGGGTCCCGGTGAAGGAGCAAGGGGGGGCATGACGAGTGGGGGGCTGAGCCATGCTCCCCACACAGCTCGGGGCTTGTGCCCAGCACCCTGCAGCTGGGGACCCCAGAGAGCATGACCCGGAAAGTGGCGCGCGACGGGGGCAATGGTAAGCAGGCCCATGCCTCGGCCAGGAGCCGCTCTCCCAGACGGATTTTGCCTGCTGCAGCATCCTCTCTCCTCTTTAAAAATACGTTATAGCTGCGGGCAGGGGGAAATGATGGCATGCACGGTGACAGATGCTAATTTCGTTATTAGTATTTTTAGCTCAGGACAGATCCTTTTCACAACAGAATGGGTTTTTTCCCTAATACAATATACTTAGCGTCGAGGCAGTGAAAGCAAACTCTGTGTTATCTCTGTGGTCGGGATGGTGCTATGATCTAGGTGAACTGAAAATGGGAAACTACTGCAGGTGCTCAGAGGACTCATTTTTAACCAGTGTTAGCAATTTTTTCCCCAAAAACATTTTTAAATTTATTTTTAATCAGAGTCAGCAAAAAAGTACAGAGCTGAAAATTTCCTAGCTTGGGGGGGAGGGGGGAGTCTGCAGCCCTCCCTGATTACAATGCCCATCATCCTTGCCGGCATGGCCAGTGGTAAGAGATGATGGGATGTGTAGTCCAGCAGTATCTGGAAGGCCAGTTTCTCCCCTCCTAACCTAGATGTGTGCTGCTTAAAAGCCCCCACAGAGAAGCACGTGCCCATCTTTTGCGGGAGGGAATTCCAGAGATGTGGGACCAACACCAAAACGTTTCTGCCCACAGGATCCCTCCTCTGCTGCTGCTTAGAAACAGCAGGTCGTCTGAGGTGAACCTAAGACCTGGGAGAGACCTTAAAGCTTAACATCAGCTATTTTGACAGAATCCAGAAACGAATAGACAACCAGTTCACTTGGCACAGGATTAGTATAACATGACACCAGTGCCTGGTATAGGTGAATATTCTGGCCACTGAATTCAATATCAGCTGAAATATAAGAAATTGCAAACAGGGACTTGGGTCCTAGAGTGCATTTCCTCCTTGGACCTCCACTAAGCCTTCTTTCTGTTCCGTTTTCTACCTCTTAGGGCATTTGGTGCCTACAGCATGGATGTCATCACCAGCACCTCGTTTGGGGTGACCACTGATTCTATTAACAACCCCAAAGACCCCTTTGTCAAGGAGGGAAGGAAACTTGTGAGGTTCAGTTTCTTCTCGCCAGTCTTTCTAGCATGTAGTAAGTTTGCTTTACTGCCTTGAAATCCGTGTTCATCGTTTATACCTATTATGTTCTCAGCCTTCTCTAATCACAGGACTGCGCTCATAAATCCTGTGAGCTGTGACCAGCAAGCCCACATGTAGAAAAGATTAAAAATGGATTGACCTGCCTACACTGATTTAATGTGTGGTCTACTCTGGAAGTTTGATTGGCTGGTACCCACAGATGGGCAATTCGCCATGGCTTGTTTTGGCAAGCGACCCAAGGCAACAGGAGTTCTTTGAGTGTGGTCTGAGTATTAGACAACTAAGAACCCTAAAGCAAGGGTTGTTTCTGGGTTGTTTTTAACCTGCAGACACCCCTGTCGGCTGGGTTCAGGCAACACGACAACCTGTGCCAAGCAGGCCCATGCAGAGATGGAGCCATGCAAAGACGGTCGATGCTAGAACCCTTATGGTTAACCCATGTGGGGTCGTCATGATCTCATGAACACCTTGTGTGATGCGACAGGCTCACGGTGGTTTGCTGTATCGCGCAAGCCGAGTCGACGAGTCAGGAAGGGGGACGTTTGGTTTGCATTTTAAGGAGAAATGATCTGATTTGCACTTCCAGCACTAATTCATGAAGCACCCCTTGGGATATAGAGGAATGTGGTTCTCTGATCAAAACACTGCAGGCAAAGATGTGTAGACCATCAGAAGGAATCATGCAAAAAAATGCCGGATGGAACCCATGTGGGCTTCAAAAAGGGTCTTCTCCCTGTCCTAAACAGAGAACAAGATGGGGACTTGGTGGCTGTGATGGTTCTCCCTCCTTCTCATGCTTTTTTCTCCTCTCCTCCACCAGTGGTCTTTCCATGGATAACTCCTTTTCTGAACATGATGAATATTACCATATTTGCTTCTGACGCTGTAGAGTTTTTTACAAGGGCAGTCAAAGAAATGAAGAAGGACCGGGAACAAGCAACAGATAAGGTAAGGAGATGCCAGTATGTTGTTGTTGAGCTAACCTTGTTTTAGAAGGAATCAGAGACTGTGTGTAGTTCAGAAATGGCCCTGAGGTACTGAAAGGGTTGGTTCTGCTCTGGAAAGAATCAACTAAACTTTCTGAGTGCACATGGGAATCAGTTTTGAATTCCAGACACTTTATTACAGCATGGAGGATGTCGGAATGTGGCAGCTTCCAGAATCTTGGCTGAAGTCCGAGGTCAAGTTGCAAATACATCAAGTCCTGTTTGTGCAGTTCAGTGGTGCTATTATGCCACAATACTGTATGTTGATAAGAACCTTGGGGTCGCTCACTGGATTTACTTGCCTGCTTTCCCAGTGTGGTTCTAGATTTGATGCTAAATTCGACATATATCAAAATTAGGATTCCAGTTTAGCTGTGATCCTAAACATGTTTCCTGGAAGTCCATTCCACCAGAATTTGGCTGCGATCCTACACTCACTTAACCGGTTAAGCGAGTGGGCTTAACGTGGGAATTACCTCTGCATAGACATGGTCCTGAAGCTTATCTTTAGTAAGCCTGCCTCTCTGACTGCTTGTTTCTGTTTCCAGGGCAGAATGGACTTCTTGCGAATGATGATTGAATCTCAAAAAGCAGGCACAAACCAAAACAGTGGTGGCACCAGTAAAGGTAATAATTTGAAATCATACCTAATGGCCAAGACAGAGTATGAGAACTAGGGTTAGTCTTGTTTTAATTCCCAAACCTGCATGTGGAATGTATGGAGTAGGAAGGGAGGTGTGAGTTGTGGATGTGGAACCCCCCCAGCAGTGGGGCTGAAGGGAGGCTCTTTGTCCCACGAAGCCCATAGCCTGTCGTTCCATTAGTGAAACTACATAAGTGCTAATTTCAGAGAAGAAACCTTGCTGGTGTGGCCATCCTGCCACAGGAAAACGAATCTCAGCCTCAAGCACAGTGTCATTTCCCCATTTCTTAGAGGTAATGTCATCCTTGCCTTCCAAGGGAGCTGAATTAATCATTTCTGGAAAGCAGTGAGCTCGAGCGCCATGTTAAGGTCGCATTTGCTCCTCTTCAGGCCAGGCGTAGGCATGGTCGGGTCTCTGGTAGGGGCCCACATCTCAGTGGGGGACTGCTTGTGCCCCTCCTTTACCGTGGCGATGTGCTTTCCCCCTGCCTCTTGCCCTGGTCTGGCCCAAATCACGGGGGCGCCGAGGAGGAGCAGGAAGTGATGCGATGATGCGGAAGAGGGGGAGGACCAAGAGCAGCTGCGAGGGGAAGGAGGAGTCAACTGAGGGAGTGCGTCTTGCCCAGGGGCTTGCAAACACCTGGAGACGGCAGTGTAGACGAGGACCGTGTCTCACTGGCAGTGTTGAAGCCACGTCAGCTGCCAGGCGGCTTCTGGGTCTCCTTGTCTTTCACTTCAGGAGACAAACCCTCTAGATAAATCTGGGTCGCCCCATCCCCAGTAATCCAGACTGATGTGGGTGAAAGAACTGGGACTGCTTCTGCCCCATTATAGGAGACAAAGGCTTAATTTATATAAGCCCATCTCTACCAGCCAGAAAAGTAGATTTATTTTATTTTATTTTATTTTATTTTATTTTATTTTATTTTATTTTATTTTATTAAAACATTTCTATGCCGCCCCATTCGCCGAAGCCTCGGGGTGGCTCACAACATAAATTAAAATACAAGAAATAACAATATAAAATAAGTCGCCCTGGCCAGATAAAATAAGCAAATAATATTAACAATTAAAATGACGCTTAAATAAAAAGGTCTTCGCCTGGCGCCAAAAAACAAATAACGACGGCGCCAGGCAGACCCCTCTGGGGAGCGCATTCCATAGATGTGGTAGGAATCCATGTTTTCTTTGTTTTGCATGGGCGTTCTTTAACCATACCAGATTAACCATACCAGACATTCAAGCTGAAATGCCACCCTATTGATCATGTCTGTCGGGTGCAAAATAGACCAGCCCATTCCTGGGCTGTTTCTGCAGTGTCCGCGATCACATGTGTTACTTGCATCATATCTAGCTTCCAGCCCTCATCTTTCCCTTCCCTTCTTCACACAGGTCTAACAGACGAGGAGATCACGGCACAAGCGGTTATCTTCATATTTGCTGGTTATGAAGCCACCAGCAACCTCCTCGGCTACGTCGCTTATATGTTGGCTACTCATCCCGATGCCCAGAAAAAACTTCAGGATGAGATTGATACCATTCTGCCCAAAAAGGTAGGTGTGGCCTTTATGAATGTAAAAACTGAAGAGCTGAGGCCAGGTTAGATCAAGGGTCCATCTCTTCCAGCATTCGGATCACTCAGCGGCTGGCCAGCTGTCTGTGGGAAACCCACCAGTAGGACTTCAACGCAAGAGCTCCCTCTGGGTCATGACGCACATCCACCTGGCACACAGGTGGCTTATAGGCAGCAAAGACTAGTAGCCATTGCTAGTCTTCTCCGCCATGAATGCGTCCAAATCCTCTTTTCAGGGGGCCTGAACTGGTGGCCATCTCTACATCTTGGAGAAGTAAATTCCATCCATGATGTGAGGTTGTCCTACATCTCTCACCAACCTGCTCCGTTTCATGAACCTGGGCCTAGTAGAAGAAGGGTGAAGATGGTTTCTCTGCCCACCTTCTCATCACAGGGCATGAGACTGATGAGGTGGTACAACACTTTTTAAGCATCCACAGAAACGAAGCAATGCTGGGGGCAAAGTACCTCTGAGAGTGAGCGGCTTGAGTTCCTCAGCCTGGTGTCTACTGGAGCTGCTGGATCACAGCTCCCATCACACCACTGACCATGTTGGCTGGGACATGATGAGAATTGTAGTCCAGTGCCTCTGGAGGTCACCAGGTTGGCATATTTTTCTTGTCTGTTGCGCAGCAGCAGACTTCTTCACCCTTCAACACATACTTAGCATTAAGAAGAAGGGTTCTATTCTGGAGGATTCCATCTGGCAAGGTAGGGTAGAAATTCTTCAAATAGCATTGGAACTTTGTGTCATGGGACCCAGAACAGAATGGGGAAATGCAAACCCCACTTAATACTAGAGACTAAAGCACTCGATATTGAGACATTTATGTCGACTTGCTTCTGTCCAACATAAATGGTGACGTTTTTCCCACTCCCCAAAATTCCGTGTCTCCCAAAGGCTCAAGTCACTCAGGACTCCCTCATGCAAATGGAATATCTCGACATGGTCGTGAACGAAACTCTCCGGATGTTCCCTGTTGGCGGACGACTTGAAAGGGTCTGCAAGCAGAATGTCGAGCTAAATGGGATCACCATTCCCAAAGGAGTAGTGGTGGCTATTCCAATAGCGATCCTGCACTATAATCCAGCCCATTGGTCCAACCCTGAAGAATTTAGACCCGAAAGGTACCATTTTGTCTTCATTTGCTTCGACCTAGCAGGGGTGGCATGTGGAGCAGAGACAAATTCTGCAGCCTCTCAGACTAACTTACCTCCCAGGGCTGGTGGAAGGAGCAATGGGAAAGGGCAGCAAGAAGCACACCCCCACAGGAGAAAGAGTGGACAGGAGTGCCACTAAGAGTAATAACATAGCCTGCATTTAGCCACATTTCTGCCTGAGGAAGCACGGGTCTTCGGGGTAGCGGTTTGGAGTCAGGATTGCTGACCTTGTCCTTGTCCTCAAGCTGTAGCAGGCAAAACAAGCCCTCCTTCTCATCCAAAACAACACCCATGCTATGGAAAACAAACACATTGAACTCCAGGTCTCTGCATACTCTGTGTATGAGTGACTCCCATCTTAAAAACTGGCCATCCCTGCTACAGATCTCTCTCCCCCCCCCCCCTCTCTCTCACACACACACAGAGGCCAAGGCTGTGTTTCCTGTGTCAACGTTTGCCAGAGAACAGGTGGAGAGGCGTGACATCGGCACATCACCGTGCCTGAGGGGGCGTGTGATTCTTTTCTTCTGCAGCCAGAAGGCAACCCGTGCTAATGGCTTTGCTTCTGTCCTTTAACCCTTCGAGCAAGAGTCATTCCGTTTCCCTGCAACCTGCTCTTTTGTGCTGGGGACTGCGCTTTTCACTCACAGCCAAGCGGGGCCACCTGAGGCACAGATGTTCACTGGGGTCAGCGGTCAAGAGCATAGCCCTGTTAGAGCCTAAGCTTCCAGGGTTTGGACTGGGAGCCCTTCTGCATCGATGTGGGGCTGCCCCATGGGTTGTGCCTCTGATCTATGTTGCCGCATCTGGACTGTGTGCACTGCAGCCATATGTTGTCCTGTCCTCAGGACTTAGAAGGGTCTGTTAAGTTCTTGTGGTCATTTCACCAAGTAACCCAAGCAGTATCCTTGGGCATCCATACTCCTGCGGCACAGAAGCACATGCTCATTGCCTCCTGCAGTGATGAGATGCTCAGAGGAACAGCAGCAGATCTTCCTCTGCATCAGCTGCAGACAATGGGATTGGCTGTTTAGTGTCACCTGATGCCCTGGACCAGAGAGGTTCCTAGCTTGGCTTGATGCCCAGAGCCTACCATATGTACATTTACAGGTGGTTCAGTGTGAGTTGGAGAAGAGTTGCCTCTTAAGCATGGTCTGGCACGGGGGAACTGGGTCACACCACAAGGTCAAGAATGTTCAGGACCATGGGCAGTATACTGCAGGGGATACTCTCTGCAGTGCTGTTGTCCTAGCGAGGAACTGCAGGCCTTTGAGCAGGGAAAGCTGTTGTCTCAGCAAGGAGCTGCAGACATTCAGGTTCTGCAAAAGGCTGGCAGGACCAGAACTTTCAGAGGTGCCCATCCCACTGGTTGCTAACTGTACCTGCTCTGTAGCCCTGCCATAGCTCTTCTGCAGCTTCTTGCTCCGCCTGGCTGAACAACAGGAGAAGGCTTGTGGAAGTCATCAGGGACTGAGGGTGAGAGGGAGGGCTTTATCCTCAGGCTTGGAAGCTGTGGTGCAGCAATGTAACTGTAGATCCCTACAGGGGAAGGCATTCGACAGTCATGCATTGCTTACATTTTAAAAGCATACAGCAAACATTTCTCTTTGCCCCCCCAGCTGCCATGCCATGTGTAGCAACGGCTTCTGTGCTCCTGATAGGTTAGAACAAGAACAGCAAAATTATTTGTCAACACATACAGATATGTTCTGAGTATCTTTGCATTTTAAACTTGCTTAAATACAGCACTGGTGTTGCTTAAATCAAAACACCGTCATGGCTGTAGGAATGCAGCGAGGTTGTTTTTGCTACTCTCAGCATGCACCTGTCTATGGGTAGTCCTTTGTTGGCCCCCTGCAGCTCTGGGGACCTGGGCTTTGGTCCCAAAGTCCAACCCTGGGATCCTCAGAGCTTGAGAGCACTTCAGGGTTCCGGGCTACTGGGATTGGCTCGGCTTAAATGGACTTCACTCCTATTTTCTGACTATTATCAGTGATGGTGCTAGGAGCTAGTTGAGCTGTTGGATCCTGGTGGGAAGCTGGTCCTTTTTATCAGACCAATTAGTTCATACAATTGTTGCCGCTAAAAACTCTTCCCCCTCCCCTCTTCTTTCTGCTCACAGATTCAGTAAAGAGAAAAAAGAACAGATAGATCCTTACATCTTCATGCCATTTGGAGTTGGCCCCAGGAACTGCATTGGGATGAGGTTTGCTCTCCTTACCCTAAAGATAGCTATCGCCCAGTTAATGCAGAATTTCACCTTCAAGCCCTGCAAGGAAACACAGGTGAGGAACCAGGACTGGTCTGTGCTCATATATCCGAGGAAAATAGGTCTGAATTAAATCAAGCTTTCTCCTCTGTAGCAGAGACAGGGAATATAATGGAACTGTCATGCAGAGAATGCTTCTGGAGAGTAAATAGTAGAAAGGTAACATCTCATTGACAGCTTATGCAACATGAAGCATTTGGAAAGATGGACTGTAGCCCAGTGCTTCTGTGTCTTGTTTCTCCAGCAGAAACAAAGCGGTCAGGGTAATTTGGGTCTGCCTATCTCTTGCTCACCCGTCCTTCCCTTTCTGTGATCTGCCCCCACAGGGGAGAGCAACAGGCCAAAGGGGGCTTGCATGTGAGCACTCAAAACAGTGTTGGACAGGCAGCTTGGTGTGCATTCTCTGGAGGCCATCATCTGATGAGTGACCAATGCCCCCTCCCCCGTCAATGCGCACCTAAGTGCCTGATGCTACAACTGAGTAGGGGGTATCATCTCCCCACAATGCTGGCACTGTAAGCTCCTTGCAGCAGGGGCCTGATAGCTAGTTTGTGGGGATGGGTGGGTGTTACGCATGTCCAGAGAAACTGTTCAGGGACTCGCCTTCCAGGGATGCGTGGGGCCTAAGGGAAAAGAACACCATCAATACCTGCGTCTTATAGCTGAAAGCTCTTACTGCCAGTAGCTAGACCTTCAGAGAGACACTTCAACCTTTTTGGGTGGGAAGAGGGGAAGAAGTACAGAAAAGCTTGGAATCCCCAAGAGACAGGGTTTCAGCAGGAAGAGACTGGGGTTCCCCAGAAGGCCAGATTTCATTTCCAGGTAGGCTGAATTGGGCCTACATGCTGCAGCCCCCCTTCTCCCACTCTTGATAATCACGGTCACTAGGGCTTCGATTCAATCCATCGTCAGTTTTAAAATGTGCAATTACTAAAAAGGCCTCCGATTTTCCTAAAAACAAGCTGGCTGCTTCTTGCTGGCACAGGGGTGTTGTGCTCTGGGGGTGGGCAGGCGAGGAGCCTGGCTTGGCCTGGATGTGAGGAATCCTGGTCATGCCGCAACCCTTCCTCCATGCAAGCAGGGCGATGCCCTCAGCCAGAAGTGTTTTGGAGGGCAAGCAAAATGCAGAGAAACTCCTTGACCACGTACTTCTGCACTTTGCCGGATGCCTGTAATCTTGTACAATTTTGGAGGATGACGGCACCCCCAGTTTGGATGGTGCTCCAAACTTGCTCTACTAGCCCTGCCGAATCGCTGAGACCTACACCTGAGTAGGCATGCTCAGGACTGTAATGTACAAAAGCTTTAATGACGTTACTGGTCTAAACACAGCTCCTAGCATGACTTCCCAGGTAGCCCCTTGATTTATCTATCCATCTTCTTATTGCTGCCTTCCACACCCTTCAGAGCAGGATAGCCAAATTGCGCCCCCTCAAAATGGTTTGGTCTGCAATCCCCATCAGTCCCCTGAGCAAAGTTAATGGTGATGGACGACTCCAGAGACAGCTTTTCTTTTTTTTTTTGCTCTTGGGGCTACAGCTGTGACATTCCAGATCATCAACTTACAGCAGGAAATCCCGTGAAGCCACAGGAAAGGTCCTGAGTTTTGTAAGGCATTCCCATTCTCTGTGGCATGGAATCTGCAGCAGCCCGCTTTCCTCCTTTGTGTCTGAAGCAATTTGTACATGCACAGAGGTTATTTCACTGTTAGGATCAGGATACTGCGAGGACTGCCCCCGGATTGGGGTGGGGGGAACCTGTTGTGGTCTAACCTGCAGCACAGATGTGATGAGCCCTAAACATCTGGGAGAAGTTCAAAGGAACAAGGATGTCTCTGAACTCAAGCTTCAATTACAAGGTGAAACCAGGGGTTCTGTCTTTCCTTTTTCAACAAACATGCAGTTTCTCCTTTCTTGGCATTTGAATATAATTGTCCCCAATTCTTCTTCTGTTGCAGATCCCATTGGAACTGAATTCAGTGGGCCTGCTGAGACCCAAAAAACCCATCATCTTGAAAATTGTTTCCAGAGACGAGTCCACAGTGTAACTGAAGTTTTCAAGTGGAGAGCATTGGCGATCTTAGGGAATGAATCCTGAGAGGTTTGCTGCTAGCATTTTGCTGGTGTGACTGTTATTTTGTGCGTAATTGTGGGGGCTTTGTCTGTGTAAGGACCTAATTCCTTTCCATATAATTAGTTCAGTTTCTATGTTTTTGCTTCATGGGAACATGGGGCTTGGTTTGTATGGTTTTCTACTGGACATACTGTATGTAAATGTATCTATAAGTTGCACAGATGCTCCTGGAATATTTTTAAGGAATCATTAAAAAGTGTCAAAACTGTCACATTTTATGGAAACAGTGCCCTGAGTATTTCTTTATTGATTGATTTATTTCCTGTCTTTATTCTTTTTAAAGAATGCAAAGCAGCTTATGTCGTTCTCCTCCTGCTCTCAATCTTATCCACTACTCTGTGAAGTAGGTTGGACTGAGAGTCAGTGACTGACCCAAACTCACCCATTTATTTATTTATGTGTTTGTTTATTAAAAGCTTTTCTATCCATCCCCTACAAACATCTCGGGATTTGGCTCCATGACTGAGTGGGGACTACGACCTGGATCAGCTGAGTCCCATTCATGCACTCACTACACTGGCTCTCATGCACCGTTGAGCTTTGCTTCCCTGATTGGCTATGACCTCCCCATTAACCAGTCTAGAAATTGTGTCTATAATCACGGATGTGAGCAGTCTAGGAATTATTCCTCATTGTAAATTAGCATTACTTGCTTTAGTGATATCAGCATGTAGCAAAATTGAATCTGCTGCACGAGTCCCTGATTGGTTGGGATTAGACTATGAAGAAAGATTTCCCAAACAATAAGAAAATGAAGCAGCAGATTTAGGTGTGAAGTAGTGTTCTCAGGGAAAGTGCTTCTTTTAGGAATTACTTCAGCTTCCTCACCACAAATACTGTCTCTGCACCCCACAAATCAAAGTAGGTGAACATTTAGCACAATTCTATTCCATGGCAGTGGTGATACCTGGAAAAAATATATTGGGGCAAGAATACATTGAAGGTGGCAAATACGCTCAAGAAGTGCCTTTTTTGAAGGAAATACAATGAAATCATTGTCTTGGTGGATCACCATTAGCCTGTCCTTCAGCACCACCTATGTTTTATGCATGTTTTATTAGCAACTGCAAAAATATCGGGAGCCAGTCTGATTTGATGGTTAGACTGTTGGACTAGGACACAGGAAACGGGGACTCTAGTCCCTGTTTGCCAATCAAACTTCCTGGGTGACTTTGGACCAATCAATAACTCTCAGCTTAACCAACCTCACAGGGTTATTGAGACGACACAATAGAGGAATCCATGTGTTCGACTTAGCTGAAAAGCATCTGGCAGTGTGATCCCACACATATTTACTCCAAAGTAAACCCCATGGAATTCAGTGGAAAGTACTCCCCACTTATCATGGATGGCACAAGGTAGTTCCCATGTTGCGTCAAACCCTTAGACATGCAGAGCAACATTTCCTGTAGGGGAAGCAAAATAAATTAGTCAGCATTCTCCAGAGAAAAGCTTGGCCTGATTTCTGAGCCACATTTCAGACTACAGACTTTGATGCAATGATGATAGAAAAGCAGATGTGAACAAAGCGCCAAGACTGTTCAGCAGAGCTCCGTAAACAGCAAAGAGGACGGAGTGGAAAGCATATTTCTTCCTGTTTGGGGCCTTCCCAACTTGTGGCTCTCTAGATCTGTTGGACTACCGCCTATCTATCCATCTGTCTTTTTATGGCAATACCTACATACTGGTCAGCATCTAAGCAACAAAAGACAAAAAGGATAAAAAGGGCAAAGCACAATAATTAAAACAGAATACCAAAAAAGCACAAGGGTTCCTGAAATAACAGTGCTTCCAGGAGAAGCAAAACACAGCTCAGGCAGGCAGAGTCAGTGGAGGGAGTTCCTCAGAGGTGGCGTCCCAACCTGTCAGCTCTTCTCTGTGTGGACACTGGTCAGGCCAGAGGTCCATGTGGAACCACCAAACCCCTAGGAGAACGTCGTCTGAGGACATCAGTAAGCAGGGTGGTTGGTAAGGGAGAAGGTTCTCTTTTAGCTGTCCTGGACTATGAATCATGGGCTCTACAGGGCGTCATATCCGGGGTGTACCATGTCTATAGGAACCTTCATGGCTCTTGTTCTATTTTTAACTTTGTTGGTGCTGTTGAGTAAATATACCTTTCCTCTGGATAAAGCTCAAAGTTTTGTTTACATTCACCTCCTATTGCCAAGTGTTCTGTTTCAAAGGTTAGGGTTGGGAACCATCCATCAAGAAACCTTCATAACTGTTGTAGATTTTAATGAGATCATAATGCGCTTGAGGTTTCTATCTATTCAGAAAATCCTAAAGGTGCTGGGTGATCTCAATACGCTGATGATGCCTGGGTCTTTTTCTCCTTACCACCATCAGCTGCTGCTTCTAGAGACAGCCGCTCTCCTCTGAAGGAGTGCCTCAAGTTGGGAATGAGCTGGATGGGGAAAAAGAAATTGAGGCTGGATCCAGACAAAATGAAGTGCTTGCCTTTAAGGGTTTGGATCCAGGATCAGAGGGGTGTCAACCAGGCCTAAACGACCATCTTCACAGTTTGGGGATACAGCTGGACCCAGGCCCTCAGAGGTCAGCTCAGATAGAAGCCGTGGTCAAGAGTGCCTCTTCTCAGCTTTGGCTGATTCTACTCCAGAAACTGCAACACGTACAAAACATGGCAAACAGCTTGGTCTTGGGACACCATTGGAAGCACATCACCCATCTTACAGTCAACACGTTTCCAGATGAAGCACAAGGAGGAGCTGGTAATTACTTCTAAAGCCCTTCATGGCTTGGGTTCAAAATACCTTCAGGAGCTCTTTCGCTCATCTAGTCTGCCTCACCCACTAAATTCTTCTGGGGATAATCTTTTAAAGATTGCTTCTGTACGATTAGTATCAGCTACCCAGTGGTAGCCCATAAACTGTGGGATGGCCCAGCAGGAAAGATGCATCTGATATCCCAGACTGCCCCCTTTAAGCGGGAATTAAAGATGTCTCTCTTCCAACAGGCCTTCCCAGAGTAGTTTTACTTAATATGCTTGTTTTGAGTTGAAATATTAACTGGTGTTGGTTTTAATCTTTTGTAAGCCACCCAAAGCCTGTGGGAATGGGCAGTATAGGGCAGTATATAAAAATCAAGCTAAATAGGGGGCACTGTGATATAGTGAAATAGTGCAAGAGGGAATCACACTTCCTTTCACAATTAAATGCCACATTTCCCCACTCCCCACCTGACAGCTAGTGTGGTGTGGTGGTAAGAGAGCTGGGCTGGGGGGGGGGTCTGAGGTTTAGTCCCCACTCAGCCATGAAGCCAGGGGCGGGGTGGGGTGGGGAGTTACTGGGAAATGCACAAACATAGAAAAATGTGCAAAAGTGACCTTGCACAGAGAAGCCCTAGCTAAGCCTTCAGAAGGTTATTTCTCCTTTCAGACTGAGGGAAAGGCCACACAAAAGCCAGGAAACCTCCAACTTTCCATGGCTTGGGAAAGGTTGAGCACCCCAGAGCCTGGGAATGCTGGTATAGACATTCAGTCGATCTTTACTTGGTCAAACAGGTTCTTCAGGGTTTTGTGTTCTTCTAAACACCCTGCAAGAACTGTTTTCAGGAGATAATGAGATGAAGGAAATGTGTGGAAATAGCATAACAAGAAAAGCCTCTCTCAAGCCATGGTGAAAATCTTGTCCGCCTGTCGCCATACATTTCGTTGCAAAATAATCAGTCACACCAGTGTAATCCGATCAATTCCAAACTTCACTCTGAATATCCAATGCATAATATCTCACTTTTAAAAATAAAGTCATAATGCAAAAGCTGGGGCATTTCTGGCTTCTTTCCCTCTCTCATCCAGTTCAGATTTGTACTGCAAAATGCTCTGAAGGCAGCAGGAAAAACAGAAATCAGGACCTAGCAACTGCAAATTCTTTGCGGCAAGGGGGAAAAGCAAATATGGATTTTTTTTTTGCAGTCTCAAATGTATGGGGGGGGGGGGGAGAGAGCGAGAGAGAGAGCGAGAGAGAGAGCGAGAGCTTGGCATTTAGTAAGCAAAACATGCTCTCCTGAATGGGATATTTAAAATGAATGATTGTTAATCTAGCCATAATACGTTAAGAATGCTGCACACTCAGTACATGAACTCTTTGGAAACAAAGTCATTAGTGTAACTGCATATGCTGTTCATTCTTTTCAAGATAGGGAAATATGAATAATTCCCTGCCAAGGGACAATTACAGTCTGCCATTCCCACTGCACAAGGCCATATGCATCAAGGGGTAACAAGATAACATTAATAAGTATTCCGCAGAGAAAATTAGATCAATAATGCTTTGGCAGCATAACATCACATTTGAAAACAATATCCACAATGACTTGGCGGGATGCATCCGAGGAGACGCCTTCTGCATACCACAGACATCTTTCCTGGAGTCTCACCTTCATTCTACCTTCTTTCCCTTCAGCCCCAAACAGGGGAGAGGAGCTTTTCTCAATGGCAGTCCGTCCACTTGATCCATTGCTGAGAAACATGGAATGTTCGTGCCGAAAGGATGCGGCGTGTGGGCAGGGGAGGTTGATGCTGCTGATGTCATTGTGGTGTCTACCCCGAGCTTTATGGGGGCTCCCTGGAGTGTCCCACAGTGGTGAGCCTATTTGGGGGCTGGATATTGCCTATAGAATTCAGAATAACAGCTGGAATGGATAAGGAGCCCTGCTGACATAGAAGCCACCAGCCTCCCTTGCCCGTACGTCTATCCTGTTTCCTAAACCATGTGGACTAGTGCCTTCTCTTGTGCAATAAAACTAGGTCATGTCTTCTAATATGTGTGGAGACTGACATGTTAACAAAGCATTCCACAACAGGAGTGTTGCGTTGCTTTCAGTCCAAGGGTCAACTTCTTGGGGAGTGGGCCTGAAAGGAAAAACCCTGGGGGCCAGAATTACCCAACATAGCAGCGCAGTTTTGCATAAAGCTCTTTGGTCAGTGATGAAGCTTTAGGAAAGGCATTTTGACCCTTTGGGATGGAGAAAGTCAGCACAAAGGCCAGGAAGTTGCAAAATGATGGGCTGCACTGAGATTCCCAAAGAAGTCACAGGGGTGCATTTAATCTCTGAGTCAAAGGGACTCTGCTCTTGTTCTACTGCAATGCAGGACGTTATGTTAGAAGAGCGTTGCCTCCTTTTACACCCCGCTGTCATTCTCGGAATCCCAAATCTCTCACCCAGTTCTTGTTTATAAATCATGACAAGGGCTTGCATTTCGAAA